CGCTGAGTGGCAGCCAAGCGTTGGCGTTTCCCTGCTCCTGCCCCCTTTCCCCCTCCTCCTCACCTCCAGCTGCTCCCACCATTCCTTGCCAGGCCTTTCTTTGAGGGCAGACCCTGGCAAAATGTCCTGGCTGCTGGCAGCGGAAACACTTCTTATTAGTTTTCCAATCCTTTCCCTCCCTTTTGCGACTTTCACTGGAGTTTGAAACCTCCCCCGCGCGCGCGCCATCAATTTCCATTGGCTCCGCCGGCGGGGAAGGCTGCCTCAGTATTTCAGGAATGCGGTAGTCATGGCAACGTTCCCCTCTCCCTTCACGCTTCTCCTGAGCCCGCGCTTCCTGTCATACGCCAATCGCAAGCACAGCCTTGGTCAGCTGATCCATCGACTGCGGGCGGGGCGCGCGGGAAAGCTCGTCCTTCACCGTTGGGGACAACCCCTCCTCAAACAACATCTGAATGGGTTCCGAGTCCAATTCCCACCCGAGCCGGTGGACTAACATGGCAAAGCGCGACCAGTAGTCTCTAACTGACTGGTTCCCCTGTTTACAACTCATCAGTTCCTGCCGAGTCACGCTTTGCTGCACATCACTGGAATACATCGCATCCATCGCCTGGAAGAATTTCCTCAGGTCTTTCAAGGCGGCATTTTGCGTTGCCATTAGGGGCCTGATCCATTCCCTGGCCCCATCCTGCAGATGCCCGACAATGTAGGCCACCCTCTCCCCATCGTCCGCAAAATCCTTATGCTGCAGTTCCAAAGCGTATTCTATTTCCGTTCGGAACGCATTGTAGTCCTGGGGCTTCCCCCCAAACTTGTGTACCAGTCCCGGTACCTTCCTTGCTACGGGGGTGGGTCTGACCTGTGCATCGTGAGCCCACCTTTCTTCCAACCGCGCCGTGAGAAGAGCCACATGCTGTTCCAAATCTCGGTTCCTCTCCACCAGATTTTGCACTCCAGCTGCTCCCTCCGTGGCGCCGGCTTCTCCGGTTTGGCTCATTCTGCTGCCTGCCTGTCGCTGCGCACAAGCAACGTCAAGGACTGACGGATTGCTGTCATAAATGTAGGGGTTGCTCGTGCGCAAGTTGGTGCCACTCCTGGCTAGGTTGCCTTGTTAAACCTTTTCTGTCTGGACAGCCCTACGCTTCGTGGCTGTTCAGTCGCTAGCAGAATCCATCAGTGGGCGTTTCTTAAACCTTTTCCAGCATAAAAGTTGTTTGACTCCAAGTCTCCTCCTACTGTCCCTGCGCGGAAGTCTTCTGCGCAGGGAGGGCATGGGTAGCGGAGGACCTGTGCTCTCCTCGCTGATCTCTGGCGAGGAGTCCTGGAGCCCCCTCGCCGATTCCCCCATCTGCCCCCCTTTATCCCTGGTGTTACGCTGATTTCCTTCCCCAGCTGGTGAGCCGCCTCTCCCCCTGCTGGGCCCTTCTCCAGCATCGCTTGAGAGCCTAGCCTCCGCCTCTGGCTCCGATGTCAGTTCCCTGACAACGCCCTAAGGCATTGGCGTATTATTTTTTGCAGCAGGAGTGAGCCCATATTTCATGCATTGTTGGTCAAACTCCTGAACACTTAACAACAACAACAACAATTTATTTATACCCCGCCCATCTGGCTGGGTTTCCCCAGCCATTCTGGGCGGCTCCCCACAGAATATTAAAAACACGATAAAACATCCAACACTAAAAGCTTCCCTAAACAGGGCTGCCTTCAGATGTCTTCTAAAAGTTGGATAGTTGTTCATTTCTTTGGCATCTGATGGGAGGGCATTTCACAGGGTGGACGCAACTACCATGAAGGCCCTCTGCCTGGTTCCCTGTAACCTCACATCTCACAGTGAGGGAACCTCCAGAAGGCCCTTGGTGCTGGACCTCAGTGTCCAGGATGAACGATGGGGTTGGAGACACTCCTTCAGGTATACTGGACCGAGGCCGTTTAGGGCTTTAAAGGTCAGCACCAACACTTTGACTTGTTTTCGGAAACGTACTGGGAGCCAATGTAGGTCTTTCAGGACTAGTGTTATATGATCTCGGTGGCTGCTCCCAGTCACCAGTCTAGCTGCCACATTCTGGATTAGTTGTAGTTCCCTTTCAGTTTTCGTAACCTCTGCTTGATTTCCTTTGGTTTTCTTGTGGCTGATGGAGCAAGAGGGCACACTTGCATTGCCATTTAGGCCCGAGTGTTAACCAAAAAAGACTTTCTTTGGCTTTCTAACACTTTCACTGCCTCTTTTCATTCTCTGTTACTACAGCTCCCCTCCCCTGCTCAACTCAGATGTCCCTGCTGCTGCCTCTTCCTCCTGGGCTTGACTTAAGCGGGATGCTCTCTCCAGCAGGACCAGGATGCCTGGGTTCCTTCAACACCTCCCCCTCCTTCTCCTGCGGTAGGAGGCTGGGTGGGGCTGCCCTGCTGTCCCAGAGACAGCTCGCTCCCCTCCTTCCTTCCCTCCCTCCGTCCAGTGACCGCTAATGGGTGGGGGCAGAGAGGAGTGCAAATGCTTTGGTGCTGCAGATGATGGGTGGCAGAGGGGAATGGGGAAGGAAGGGCTGGGGACACGGCAAATGAATCAGGCTGGGGTTGGAGAAACTTCCTCTGATTGCAGCCAGGAAAAGGGCCAATCAGATACAAGGTGGGGACTTTCTTCTTCTTCCAAAGATCACATGCCAGGGGTGGGTGGAATGTGAGGCTGTACCTGGAGGTATATTCTGGCCACCCTCCCTCCCTTCCTAGAATCATAGAATTGTAGAGTTGGAAGGGACCATGAGGTTCATGTCGGAGCTTCCGTACGACAGAGCTGTAATGGCTCTCCTCCTCGTCATATCTTCAGAATCGATTGACCTCTGCTCTGATGGTGATTAACGACCTAAGCCTTTAATGAGGCTTCAGGCACGCTCCCCATTCTGCAGAGTACCTGAACAGCAGCAGCAGGAGCCAAAATATGTGCTACATTGCTACGTTTATTTCTATCTACGCAGGACAGAAAAGAATATGCATCTGCTCTCTGTGAGAGCCAGCGAACAACAGGACAAAGAAACAGGAAACCAGTAACATCAACATCCGTCTCCTGCCTCCCGTGAGACTTCCAACAGTCTGGAATGTCAACAGAGTCTTGTGACTCCAAAAACTGCACAGTGGCATAACAGAAATCTAACAGTTCATCCAGTCCAACCCTCTGCAATGTGGGAATCTTTTGCCCAAGCTGGGGCTCGAACCCACGACCCTGCCAGGCTTCAGGGAATCGGCTTCCTCCCCCCTCCCTTTGACAGTAGATAAGGAGAACAAAGGGAAAGGAGTCTTCTTACCAGTTAGAACTTGAATGACCACAGTGAGAGAACAAAGAATCCATTTCCTAGGAGTGTAGGTGCTCCCAATTAAGGGTTCCGCCCACTTCCTCCCTAGTCACCCACGTCACTACCATGTCTTGTTACCGGATCTCGCAGCCACTGTGCTTTCTGTGCTGCTACCTTATCTGCTCTTCTTGATCTTGGGCTGATTGGATGGATGCTTTCCAGCGACAGTGAGTCTGTTAACTCTCTCTCCCCCAGTTCTCCTCCTTCTAGCTGTTCACCACCCAGTACTTCCCAGCTTCTGCCTTCTGTAGTATGTCCCTCTGCAAACCGCTGTTCCAAATCTATACTGTTCTCCTGCTCCTGGGAAGATTCAGGATCCTGATCAGGAGCAGGGGGAGGGGGAGGGGGAGGGGGGCTCCCACCATTCCTTCTCCATGCAGCCCTCCTCAGCATGGTCCCTGACAGACCCTGAGATTACAGTAAGAGTCTGACTGAGCTATCCTCCTTCCTTCCTTCCACAGTATTTATATAATGCTCAATTGTAATAAATGGCTCAGAGGTTTTAATACAACATTAAGGACTGCCTTAATCCCTGTATTGCTGCCTGATCTTGGAGATCTTTGGGAGACTCTCTGTTCCATGTGATTCCCCCGTGGCTCAGAGACACACTTTCAATGCTGCGGACCTAGGCCTAGGGTACTCCCTCCCACATGAGGGCAGGAAGATGTTCTTTCAACTGAACTTCAGGTGCATGGCAAAGACTTTTCTTCTTCTTCCAGTAGGCATTTCAAGCTAGTGTTTTGGTACTTAGGATGGATTTTAATTATTATTGTTGTTTTGTTCTCTGTATGGTTTACAGTCATACCTCGGGTTGAAGTAGCTTCGGGATGAATATTTTCGGGTTGCACTCTGCAACGACCCAGAAGTAATGGAGCGCGTTACTTCCAGGTTTCACCGCTCGCGCATGCGCAGACGCTCAAAATGACGTCACGCGCATGTGCGGAAGTGGCGAAACACGACCCACAGATGCACAGTCGCGTCTTACGTTTACTTCAGGATGCAAACGGGGCTCTGGAACGGATCCCGTTTGTATCCAGAGGTACCACTGTATTTATATGTACACCACTTAGAAGTGAGGGATATTAAGCAGTAAATAAATGTCTTCAAAGATGTAAATCAGAGGTTTCGTCTGCACACACACAGTTTCAACCTCCATCCATGCAAGCAGAAGGCTTCATCACAGTTCAAGGCAATGACACTTGAGGAGGGCAAGGATCAGGACCTGACAAGGTTCTCCTTGGCTGGATTAGATACAAGCAAGGGGAGAAACTTGATACATGTGGAAAGTTGGTTTGTAAGCAGGAAGAAGAAATCAGCAACAGAGCAGGTCGGTCTGCCGAATACTGGTGTTGCAGAGCACAGATGGACAGGGCTGAAGTGGTGTTCCTAAGGCAAGTTCAGTTTGCACTGAAGGCAAATATATCAAATGTGCAAATTTCCCGAATAATATGGGAACGAAAATGCAGGCATCCTACAGAATTCACATGGACCTGAATCTTGCAATGCCGTTCTGCAACCAACTGATGCGTACAAGCATGTATATTTCAAGGGAAAGTGTGAGTAATAAGGAATATAGTCATGAAAACGACAGGAAAAGATGCATCACATTCAGAGAAAGTGCTTGCAAAAATTTGAACGCTGGTCAAAAAATGCATACAAAAATGTGTTTATTAGGAGAGGCATACACAAAAAGGTTGATGGATTTTCATGGCGATTCCTTGCCTGTTCAGCATTAATCATTTAGTCTCACGAGATTCTGTTTGGCCTTTCCAGGGAGAACTTCCTTTGTGTCTCTGTCTCAGTATCTGCAAGTCTTTCCCAACGTGAGAGTCCCGTGGGGACCAAGGTTGGCTCTTTTCTTCAGAACAAGGACTAGGATTTCCAGAAGGACCTGGTGTCATGGTCCAGTTCAGGGGCGATCGAAGTCCCTGCTGAGGACGTCAGGACCGGGGGAAAGATGGCAGGGTGGGAGCAGGAACGGGAGTCCAGAAGCCAGGAAGCCCAGAGTCCGAGGGTCAGAGAGCCAGGAGTCAAGAAGCCAAGGGTCCGAGGGTCAGGAAGCAAGGAGCCAAGGAGCCAAACGTAGCAAGGCAGCGAACGTGTTGCTGTGGCAAAGAGCCGAAGGGAAATGCTGACCTTATATCCCTTCCCGGCTCTTGCCACCAGGTTACCAATCGGCCTCATCTGTGGAGCCACGCCTTGCCTCTTCAGAACAAGCTTAGGAAGGCCCCAGTCCTGCAAAGTCCTACTGGTCACAGGGCCTGGCTCCTGCCCACACTCCTGACACCTGGCCCTGCAGAGAAAATGTTACTCAGCTGCAGCTGAAAGGAACAGATCTGAACGGGAAAGAGGCTTGAGGGCCCAGGAGAGGCCTCAGCAGCGGAGAGGAAGTTGCTGGGTCCATGTCTTATCTCTTCATCTCTTCGTAGACAGAAGGGCTTCTGGGCTGCAAGGTCTAAAGAGAAAATGGAGATGAGTCAGGCGGAAACAAGAAAGTCAGAACCATTTTGGTTTTGAATTGTTTTCCTGGGTAGCATGAGACTAAGGCTGGTGACATTATTTATATTCTTGGAAGCAGAACATCTTTTAAGAAGAGAAGCAAATCAATGCAAGTGCCTTTTGTCTGGATAATTTATATCAGTTGGGAACCTCGGTGCCCTTCACATGGGAATTCGGATAAATTACAATACAGGGATTGCCGCTGTAAAAGAGCAATTTCGGTGGCAATATCTGCTGCTCTTTCCTTTGGTGCGTGGAGGGAAAAGCTTATACTTCCCGAGATACCCATTTCTATTATAGGAGATTTGCCCATTTGCACTGAGTAGCCAAATGACAGCAGGGCTGGTGCTAGGCAAACTTCCCTTCTGGATGACTTCCAGACTTGGGGTGCCACTCAGAAAAGGCTCTGTTTGTGGTTGCCACCCACATTACTACTGAAGGTGGCAGGAATCTGGAAAAGGGCTTCAGAAGATGGTCCAAATGGTTGGGGATCTACCTGTGGGAGAAGGTGAACTCTAAGGCCTAAACAGTATGAGAGAAGCTTAAGGCTAGCAATTTGACTTGTGCTTGAAATCAAACTGGAAGCCAATGCAGCTCTTTCAGTAATGGGCTGTTATTTGGTCGATAATGGATATTTTGAGCCTAGTTGAAATTTTCCAAACATTTCAAAGGGCAAGGGACCTTCTACTCACCTCATATGTGTTATTGGCTTTGGAGGAGCTTTCAGGCTTAACCTGGATCAAACACAAAAATATGCTGAAGCTTATACTAGCACAGACAACTGCCAAATCTTTGAGTTCTTGCGAATGGATTGTGGCCAACATTCCCCAGGAAAAGGGTAAATCAATACCACATAGGGGAAAATATGGGCTGGCATCTTGATGCCAAAGGAAGGCTGTGAACTCAATGAAAAATCTGCCTGTATGAGTAATATCTGTGGGAATGTTCAGGGTGGCAGGAGAGGATATATTGTTTACTAATATCCTTCCTAACTTGCGCTAGCAAGTTCCTTTATGTAGCAGAATTACACCCCCCCCCTTTTTACATGCACAGCAGATAGCTGGTTGCAGGCTCGTGTAAGCCTCTCACTATTATACAATTCAATCTGTCTCAGATTGAATTGCATGTTCCTGATACGTTTCCTTGAATCCCTCTTAAAAGAATAAAGATGCCACAATCTTATTCAAAGTCGATAAAAGAAGTTTACTCACATCAGTTCACAGTTTTATTCCTGAAGGCAGACATAGTTACAAATATGTTCATGTGGATCTACCCCATATGGGGGAAATAATCCCAGTGCTTCTGCTAGCTGAGAGCTGGCAGAGCAGTCCTAGCTAAAAGCGGATCAAAAAGAGAGAGGTGTGCTGCGGGACTTGTCCTTTTATTACCTGGACAGGTTAGGTCACACCCACCTTCTATCACATGCCAAAGGAAGGATGCTCCAGCCAGGAGGAACAGGAAGTTTCGACTGGCTGGACCAAACATTCCCTCACATGTATTCTCTAGCATTACAAGGAATGTTGTATTTGACTGCCTCTCATGGATCACATTCCACAATATCCATCTCACGACAAACACCCATCTAGAGGCCCCCTGATTCACTCACTTGAGGTTTTGTTTCTCCGGATGGTGGATCATTCTCATATACCTGAGGGGTGGGTACAACCGGAGAAGACGTTCTGCCATTCCGATGACGGGCACCTGAAAGAGGGAGAAGAAGTCTGGAGTCAGTCTTACACATGTTTAGCTACCTAGCTGTGCAATATTGCTACTCTGCAACAGCTGCTGGCCCTGGCCCTGCCCCCCACCCCCCAAACCCTTGCTTACTGGGCTTCTGCTGCCCATGGCAGCTACTTCAGCCCTGGCCCTGACAAGGGTCTCCTGAAGTCTGGGATCTGCTCTGGTTTTACTCACGGAGAAAGAGGTAAGTCAGGATTCCCATCAACACCAGTATTGCAGCCAGAGACCCGATAACAGTCCCAGCGAGGGCTTCAGCAGAACTGAAAGCAGAAGAATCTGAAGAGCAAGGCATATATTTAAGAGACTGAGCGATGTCATAATTAAGGACTGCCTGTAATCTAGCCTCTATAGACCCACTGGTAGAAGCAAGGGGCTGGAAATATGGGGGGGGCATTATCCTGTATACACCTCCCCCCAGTGAGCGTTTCTGGACCAGCAAAAAACAGCAGCAAAACTGTCCACCATACAGTTAGGAGCAGAGCTTACTCTGTTGGGTAAACTGGGTTTTACCGGGGTGCAGCTCTGAGCCTCTTCAGATGGTGAGTCTGTCAGCATAACTTAAGCGCCACCATGTCAGGGACTGGCTGCATGAGGAAGAGGGGTAGAATCTGCCCAACCAAGAGCTGCTCAAGGAAGGTGCAGAGGAAGAGGATTTTGAGAATGGGGACGGGAGGTGGGATTCTGGCCACACCTTAGAGGAGCTGGGAAGTGCTAGAAACAGGGTGCTTGAGGGATAGTGGACAAGACAGGGTGAGGAGGAGCCAATAATAATAATAATAATAATAATAATAATAATAATAATGCAATAAACATTAAAAACTTCCCTAAACGGGATGCCTTCAGGTGTCTTCTAAAAGTCAGATACAGTGGTACCTCTGGTTAAGAACTTAATTCGTTCTGGAGGTCTGTTCTTAACCTGAAACTGTTCATAACCTAAGGTACCACTTTAGCTAATGGAGCCTCCCGCTGCTGCCGCACGATTTCTGTTTTCATCCTGAAGAAAAGTTCTTAACCCTAGCATGGAGAGCAGAGTCAGGAGGAAAGGTATTCCTTGTTTATTAGTGGATTACTCACATGCCATAGTTATCTTACTGGGGTTGCTTATAGCAGTACTGACAGGGTTGACTGCCTGACACATATAGATCCCTTCGTCCTCTTTGGTGATGCCAGTTAGCCTGAGGGTTCGGTTCTGGTCAGAAAGCCCAGTCTTAGATGGGACAGGATTACCATCCTTGAACCAAAGGATGGAGACATCAAGGCGGTCAGAGGTGTTGCAGTGTAAGGTGACAGTTGTGTTCTCTGCCACTAGGGATTCTGTCGGCTGCAGAACTGGGTGGGAGAGGATTTCTGCAGATGAAACAGAAAGACAGTCATCATTTGTGGGTCCTCATGGTCACTGAACCTGCTTAAGGCAGCCTTTCTCAACATCCACAGATGTTGTTGAACTACAACTCCCATCACCCCTAGCTAGCAAGGCCAGAGCTCTGGGATGATGGGAGTTGTAGTCCAACAACATCTGGAGACCCACAGGTTGAGAGCTGCTGGGTTAAGGTCTCTGCAATTGTAGCTACTAGAGAAGGCCACTTTGAGGCTGCTACTCAGTACAGTGGTACCTCGGGTTACATACCCTTCAGGTTACATATGCTTCAGGTTACAGACTCCGCTAACCCAGAAATATTATCTCAGGTTAAGAACTTTGCTTCAGGATGAGAACAGAAATCGTACAGCGGTGGCACAGTGGCAGCGGGGGCCCCATTTGCTAAAGTGGTGCTTCAAGTTAAGAACAGTTTCAGGTTAAGAACGGACCTCCAGAACGAATTAAGTTCTTAACCCGAGGTACCACTGTATAGCTGCCTTCCAGGGCTGTACTTCCGCACGAGTTACATGATCACAGCCCTGAAAAAGTGCTTTTTCAGGGCGAGTTTGCAATGCGAAATCATGCACGATCACAGCATTCAAAAAGGCAGCCGTTCTCTGGTGGGGGGGAAATCAGGATGTCCCAGTTTTACCGGGACGATTGAGGGGTATGCAGCACATTGCCATTGATCTTAAAGGGATCAAGTAGCACCCTGTTATTTTCGACTCATAATTTTGACCCACTATAAGCTAATGCAGGAATCGATCAGTTGTAAAGGTTAGGGAGCTTTTGGGGTTCTTCCTGGCGTGTTGGAAGAGATTTATGTGCATTTTGCTTGGGGTTAGGGCACATTCGGGAAACATAAACTTTGTTCTGCTAAGCTGCTCCAGGAAAGGAGCCGTGTCCCATTAGCAGAGCCTTAAAAATAAATAAACAAACAAATCTAAGCCTTCGCGGTTCACTTATAATTACTGAACTCAGCCAGATGGGTGGGATATAAATAATAAAATAATAATATTATTATTATGATTGGGCTTCTCCACAGAAGGTGTTGTTCTGGAGGCAAGTTTACTTGGTCCTTGGCAGATGCAAAACTCAGCAGATCATAGAATCGTAGAGTTGGAAGGGGTTCAAGGGACATCTAGTCTAACCCCCTGCAATGCAGGAATGTAACAACTCTGGACAGATAAAAGAGAGGGGACATCTGAAGGCATCTCTAAAAGGTGAGAAGGGGGGGGAATACCTGAGATGGTTATACTGGTAGCTCCCATTTCATTTCGTAGAAATCCTCCCATTCTTAATGTATAAGTTCCAGAGTCGCTCAGCCTTAAATCTGTGATGCGAAGGGAGCAGTCTGTGGCCCCAGACTCCCTCCCACTGAAGGCAGGTCCATTTTTCTGTTCAGCAAATGGACTTAGTGAATAAACAAAGATCTTATTTTTCTCTTCAGCTGCCCCTCGGTACCAGTGGCAGCTAAACAGATCAACATGTCCTGGTGTTAAGGTGACACTCTGTCCTTCCCGCAGGGTTTCTGGTTCAACTGTGATGTGTGTTTTTGTCTTGCCCTGGCCTGGAATCAGCAGGAAGGAAGAACGTGGGATGGAGGCTGCAGGATGGAGAAGAAAAAGAAATAAAAGGGGGGAAATGGTTCTAGGCCAAGACGATGGAGTTGCCAAAGAGTTTCAGACCAGTTTGTACAAGTTAGCTTAAATTCTCCTTCACTGTAACATACCCCATCCTTCTGTACAGAGTTTTAGTGTTGGAGTGGTGGTGATATCATCTTTGCATCATATTCACCCATCCTCTTGCTCCTGGGAGAGTGTGAATTAGGGATGCTACAGAGCCAATGAGTTGGGTCACCATGATGAGTCAATACTTTCTCTGACTCAAAATAGCAAGATCAGAAAAGGTTCCTGTTGCACACTAAACCAGGCTGACTGCTGCCCATAAACTAGGGATGGGGGCGGGTAGAAAAATTGGCCAGTGGTAGTGCAGTGGTTAAAGTGTCAGCCTAGGACCTGGGAGACCAGGGTTCGATTCCCCACTCGGCCATGCAGCTCACTGGGTGACTTTGTGAGAGTTGCTACCTCTCAACCTAACCTCTACCTCACAGGGTTGTGGTGGGGCTTGAATGAGCAACAGGGGAACTACAGAAGCCACCTTGAGCTCTATGCTTCCCCCTGCGTCCCCCCAGAAAAAAAAGGACTGAAGCAAACTCTCAGCTCACCCACAACAAGTAGAGTTTCTGGAAACTGTGGACACCATCCTAGTATCTCACTCTAGACTTGCTTCCTATGGTTTCTCTCCTGCGTGGATTTTTTAAAATGTGAAGTAGGACTAGCCTTGTGACTGAAGCTCGTTCCACATTCTAAGCATTCAGATGGTTTCAAACCTGTGACATTTCTTTCCTGTGAGGTGGGATGATGTGCCTTGCTAATGGAGCTCTTTCCACAATCCAAGCACTGATATGGTTTCTTTGATGCTTCATTGAGATCTGAGCTCTCTGTCTCTGTAAGAACCCCAGCCTGCCTCCCTAGTACTTCCCCTCTATCTTTCCTCACAGCTCCTTCGCTGGAAGGTGTGGGACACCTTCAAAGTCCTTCTCCCTCTCCACTGCTTGTGACTCCAGCTCTCTTCATTCAGATTCCCTGCCAGCAACACCTGTGGAAATGTTAGGGCAGCAGCAAGGCGACCCTCCATTTTAAAATATGCACATAATTGCATGTTTTAAAACGCATTTTCTCTCAAAATAACAGCTTCCTCTAGCTGGAATTCTGGAGAGCTCCATCTCGACAACTTTTGGAAAAGTATGAAATCTGAGGGAGAGTTAAGCTCCCAGCCCCACATTAGTCCGAGAAATGCAAATAAAGTCAGCCTATACCACACCCTACTCCCCCGAAGTAAGTCCTCCCCCTTGTAGGGTGCTGGTCTCTCACCTGCTAAGAGCAGCATCCTCCAGGACACCATCCATGGCCTGCCCATCTTGCGGTCACCCTTTTTGGGGGCTCAGTTTAGGCTGCCTGTCTCCTCACAGCTGATGTTCTGGGGTCCTTCTCTGCTCCCTGCCCAGCATGCAGTGCCATCGCTGCCTCCGGCTGAGTCATTGACCACACAGAGGGGAACTGGGCAGCTGAGATTTCGAGACTGGGTTTTCCCCAAGAACTGCAAGACACCCATACCAGAACTCTATGCTTCTTCCTCATATGCCAAGCCACTCTGGGAACAATTTGCTCAAATGCTTAACTCGTCAGCACCCGCCTCTCAGAGCCGGTAGCAAAGATGTGATCTGAGCTGAAGAACTGGGTCCAGGCAGACTGTCACACAGAGTTGGGAAGTTGAGGATTAATTATGGAAAAGGTCTAAAGCAGTGGTCTTCAAACCAATCAGGACCACAAACCCACCTTAGTCTCCCAACCAGGAACTTGGCACCCAATTTCACATTTCCTTTACACTTAATAGTGTTAGTGTCTAGACACACATCACACGCAAAGGCAGTGGTTCATGCCATCCTGGTGTGGCAAGAGAGGATGGCAATCATGGCATGAAGATTGTTGTTGTTTAGTCGTTTAGTCGTGTCTGACTCTTTGTGACCCCATGGACCAGAGAACGCCAGGCACTCCTGTCTTCCACTGCCTCCCGCAGTTTGGTCAAACTCATGCTGGTAGCTTCGAGAACACTATCCAACCATCTCGTCCTCTGTCATTCCCTTCTCCTTGTGCCCTCCATCTTTCCCAAAATCAGGGTCTTTTCCAAGGAGTCTTCTCTTCTCATGAGGTGGCCAAAGTATTGGAGCCTCAGCTTCAGGATCTGTCCTTCCAGTGAGCACTCAGGGCTGGTTTCCTTCAGAATGGATAGGTTTGATCTTCTTACAGTCCATGGGACTCTCAAGAGTCTCCTCCAGCACCATAATTCAAAAGCATCAATTCTTCGGCAATCAGCCTTCTTTATGGTCCAGCTCTCACTTCCATACATCCCTACTGGGAAAACCATAGCTTTAACTATACGGACCACCAAAGAAACATTTAAACATTTCAGTGTAGTATACTGGCCGCCGAGTAGTTACATTTCAGTGTAGTTATATGGCCACTGAGACCATATAACACCGGTCCTGAAAAACCTACATTGGCTCCCAGTACGTTTCCAAGCACAATTCAAAGTGCTGGTGCTGACCTTTAAAGCCCTAAAAGGCCTCAGTCCTGTATACCTGAAGGAGCGTCTCCACCCCCATCGTTCTACCCGGACACTGAGGTCCAGCGCTGAGTGCCTTCTGGTGGTTCCCTCACTGCGAGAAGTGAGGTTACAGGGAACCAGGCAGAGGGCCTTCTTGGTAGTGGCGCCTGCCCTGTGGAACACCCTCCCACCAGATGTCAAAAAATAAAAACAACTATCTGACTTTTAGAAGACATCTGAAGGCAGCCCTGTTTAGGGAAGTTTTAAATGTTTGATGTTTTATCGTATTTTAATATTTTGTTGGGAGCTACCCAGAGTGGCTGGGGAAGCCCAGGCAGATAGGTGGGTTAAATTATTATTATTAGTAGTAGTACAGTACAGTATCAAAATATTTTTGTGTGTGTGTGTGTGGGGATCTACAACCAGAAACCATATCCACACCTCTCTTCAAGAGCATTGGCTATTCTTCTATGTGACATATTGTTGTGAACAGGGATTTTAACACTGACAAATATGAACTATCAGAAAAGGGCTTATTTGTGTTGACGAGGAGATGAGAGTTTGATTGTCGTAAATTGGACCTAATATAAATGAGATTACCTGATGAGAACAAGCTCCCACCTCTCGAGTTTGCAGACATCCTCATCCATGTGTAAGAGGCTCGTTTATAATTATATTTTGGGAATGATTCATGTTCTTATTTAGCTGCATTGTTTTGTAGTTTCTGAATGTCCCACAATCATATTATAAGGTATTTAAGTCCTATGTTATAAATCAAGCACTGCTAGGTGTTGTTTCTTTTTGTTTTCCAGTGCATTTCATATATATATATATATATTCATTGCAGCATGAGCAAATTTTTATTTTGAAAGTGTGGCTCGGAGAACTACTGTGCTAAGGTATTGCCATACTACTTCCCCCCCAATACAAGTGAACCAAGATTTCATGCACAGGTGTTTAATCTTCTGAACCCATTAAGTACCGTAGTTGTACCCTCTCTTTGATTTCTGGAAGTTTTCTCATCAGTGACGCTTGTAGTTGATATGCAGAAGAGAGCAAGTCATCCTCACCCATCACTTTCACCCCAGTTCACCTCACCTGGAAAGCTGGATTCGTTTGCCAGCAGCTGGAGGATGACTGGGTTCCTTTGGCCTTTCTCCCTACCAATTTGAAAGGCACTATGCACTACAGACGGAGGTCTTGAAATCTTTGCAGATGCTAGTTTTGGAAGTGGCACCACGGATGGTACCAGCACTTCTGGAGTGTGCTACATGTACAACCACTGTCTGTTTGACTAGCTGTGCAAAAAGCAGACAACAGTAAGCCTAAGTTCCTGTGAAGCAGAATTCAGTGCCCTGTCATTTTCACTCATGGATTGTGAATGGTTGATGCAACTGTTTCAGGACATCAGAGTTTCTGTGAAATGTCCTATACAGGTGTATCAAGGTAACAGATCCTGTTTGGCTTTGCTGAACTCAGAGAGTTGAAAGCAAAGAACCAAGTACTTGCAGATTAAGTTCATCGTGCAAGAGAGTGTATTCAGAAAGGACTCATTCAGGTGTCCTACATGCCAGGAAACGAAATTCCTGCAGATCTGTTGTCTAAGGTTGTTAACAGAGAACAACTTAACGTTTATGTACAGAGGTTGCAATTGGGTTGAACCACAGGTACTACAGGTTACACGGAAAGGGGGAGGATGTTGGGATATAGTTCCGTTCCAGCTTAATAGGATCAGGCATGACTGTTGTGTGTCACATGCCTGTTTACTTCCAGCACAGTCTGCTGGGAACTTCTGTTTGTATATTGCTTTTGCTATGCTGCTGTTTGCTTGGACACGAAAATAGGGATGTCCCATTCCATAATGATAATTTTACTATTTATACCGCACACATCTTATTGGGTTGCCCCAGCCACTCTGGGCAGTTTCCAACATATATAAGAGAATGTTGGAGAAATGTTGGAGAGTATGGAATGAGGTCTCTTTTTGGATGATGAGAACTGAACTACAGACATCCTTCTAAATTTTCACTTATCCAAACCTTAAAATGACCCGGAAGCTATGCATGCCAGAATGCATATATTAGGTGAAAATGTGCATTGAAAAGAACTGATCCATGAAAATCTCAGGAAACCATGCCTCATATTAGGAGAAATTGCTTGCAAGAATTAGAATATCCTTCAAAACGGCGTACAAAAATGTGTCCAGTAGGAGAAAGATGCTGGTGGGTTTTAATGAGGATTTGCCCACTTCCTTTCTCCCCCCTCAGCGTCAATCCTTTAGACATGTTAGGTGTGATTTCAAGGATTTCAGTCTAGCCTTTTCCAGGGAGAGGTTCCCTCACATTTCTGTCTCAGTATCTGCAAGTTGTTCCCATCATGCAGCACGAAAGACCCTCAGGAACCAAAGCTGGCTCCTGTGTTCAGAACAAGGACTAGGATTTCCAGAAGGATTAAGCCCTGAAGAGAAAATGTCCTGGTCCCGAAAATCACTTGGCTGCAGCTGAAAGGAAGAAATTTGAAAGGGAAAGAGGCTTGAGGGCCCCTGAGAGGCCTCAGCAGTGGAGAGGAGGTTGCGGGGTCCATCTGTTATCTCTTCATCTCTTCATATACAGACTGGGTTGTGGGCTGCAAGTCCTAAAGATAAAATGGAGATGGCTCAGGTGGAAGCCACAAACACATTTTCATTTGCAAATTGCCCTCATTCTGCATGAGGTAGGGCTCATCCATTCTCACCTGGCTGGGCTTACCAGGTCCAGTAACAACAAACAACAAAGTTGTTGTTGTTTTTCTTTTGCTCGCCAGTTTCCCTGCAAAAACTTGCTTCTAACCATCGAATTGGAGCAAATGGTGATGCACAGAGCCAAAGGTGGATGTGTATAAGCCAGTCACCCCCAAACTCGGCCCTCCAGATGTTTTGGGACTACAACTCCCATCATCCCTAGCTAACAGGACCAGTGGTCAGGGATGATGGGAGTTGTCCAAAACATCTGGAGGGCTGAGTTTGGGGATGCCTGGTATAAGCCCTTTTACCGTGTCTCCTTTGCATGGAATCAGGGCCGTCTAAAGCATATGCAGCACCGGGGTACAAAGATCCACCGGGGGCCCCCCAGGTTGCCCAGAGTTGTAGGGGGAACCCCTAAGTTGTTGACCTTTTTTAGGGTGGGCCAGTGAGGCGCGCGCAGCAGAGCTGGCCTGGCTGGCCGCCTCAACAACAACAGAGTAGCCTGAGGCGTCGGTGGCAGCAGAGCAAGGCCGGGGTCAGGCGTCTGAAGGGGTGGGCAAGCAGAGCCCAGTGCAACAACAGTCGAGACTGAGGCGGCTGAGCGAAGCCAGGTGCCTCGTGTGAGCAGCGTGCGCTGGACGGGCCTCTCAACGGCCCACCAATCCCAGGCGAGCAGGAGCGCAGGGCCGGCCGGCTGCCTCAGTGCCTCGCTCACCCGCAGCAGAAGAGCTTTGTACTCTGATGGGCTCTGTTCTGCTCCGCTCAGCAGCGGCTGTTGACTCTTCCCAATCCCCGGACTTCAAATCTCGGCCCCGGACTCTCGGCCTGGCACCCCTGAGAGACTGCGCCCGGATGCCCCGCACCCCTAGTGCCTATGGGTAAGACGGCCCTGCATGGAATGCAAATAAATTGGAAGCCCATGTATATCCGGCTGCATTGATGAAGCGTGATAGCTGCCAAGGGGCTCCTGCCAACAACAGATATTTGGAACATATTTGACATTTAAAGCGCAAGGGATTTCCACTCACCAAATATACATTGGCAGCCTCAGAGGAGCTTTCAGGCTCAATCTGCAACAAAGAGGAAAAGATGGCAAAGATCATTCATCGGTCACAAAATTGTAGAGTTGGAAGGGGCTGTTATAAGAATTTGAGGTCTCAAATATACAAATTAAATGCTCATAAATTTACAAGGCAAACACATACATAAGTATATAAACCACGTGTCTGAATTTCATTGCGCGCATCCCCCTCCCCACCGCCTGAAAGGGTAAATTCAGATGAAATTGGGGAGGGGGGGGATATGGGCTTGCATTTCTATGTCAGTGGGCACTCTGAAATAACTACATGCTTGAGGAGTATTTATCTCATGACAAATACCCACCCCAAGTCACTTACCTCAGGCTTTCTCTGTCCTGGTGGAAGAACATTCTCATATATTTGAGGGGTGGGTGTGGCCGCAGAGGTTGTGGTAGAAGTTTTGTCCTTCCTATGACGGACACCTGGAGGGGTGGGGGGGAGTCCGGGAATAAAGTCTTAACACGGAACACCTTACTCCAGTGCAGACTCTACAGATCGGCCTGCGACAGCAGTGTAACATCAAGCAATCTTCAGCAAAATGATTCCCTTTCTCAGTTTTCCGTATTCTTATGAGTCTTGCATATTGTAAGCCACCCAATGATCTTTGAAGAAGGGTGATATATAATAATAATAATAATAATAATAATAATAATAAAGCAATGCTATTCGAAAGAAGTGGGTCAAACTAATGGAGAGGACATAGAAGTTTCTAGGATAATTTAGGAAGTTGCTCTATGGACCACGATTGGCCAGAATAGCAGGGCAATAAGGCCTCTATACCTGGCAAAACTGTCCAGCTATTCCACTAAGTTTTTTTAAAAAGTTGAATTTTCTGAGTTCTGAAAACAACAAACTCCCAGTGACTGAATAAGCAATGCATGAGGTGTGTTTGAATGAAATGCAGTGGACACTGAGGTCCGGCGCCGAGGGCCTTCTGGCGGTTCCCTCACTGTGAGAAGTGAGGTGACACGGAAACAGGCAGAGGGCCTTCTCGGTAGTGGCGCCCGCCCTGTGGAACGCCCTCCCTGCCTTAGGCAGCCTTTTTAATGTTTGATATTTTATCGCGTTTTTAATATTCTGTTGAGAACCGCCCAGAGTGGCTGGGGAAACCCGGCTGAAAGATTGGCTACTTCTTGAAAATGTGGACATTTTAGATTTAGAAGGTTTCGATAATGTGTTTGGGTGGCATGCATATTTATGGTATGACAAAGTTAAAGCGCATAAGGCCTTCAAGAATCATATTGTCAGGAAAGCATTATTTAATGTTTGGGTGAGATATAAGGATCTGTTGGAAAGTAAAACACCAAGGTGGCTGTCACCAATGGAGGCTAAGGCTTTGAAAAAACAAACATGGAGACAAATTGGCCAAAATATTGCGAAATTTTAGAACAAGTCGGAGATAAACTAAAATTGCAGAGCTTTGACAAATTAAAAACTAAGGTTCGAGATTGGCTGCATTATTATCAAATAAGGGAGGTTTTTAACTTAGATAAAAAGATAGGTTTCCAGGAGGAAAAATCTAAACTGGAAACGGAATTGTTAGAACCCAAAACCAAAAATTTGTCAAGAATGTATAATCTGCTGTTGAAATGGAATACACAGGATGAAATGGTTAAATCTGCTATGATTAAATGGGCGCAAGATGTAGGGCATAATATTATGTTTGCTGACTGGGAAAGGTTATGGACCACAGGTATGAAATTTACGGCCTGTAACGCCTTAAGAGAAAACATAATGAAAATGATATACAGGTGGTACTTAACCCCAGTCAAGCTAGCAAAAATTTATCATCTGCCTGATAATAAATGTTGGAAATGTAAAGAAAATGAAGGTACTTTTTCCACCTTTGGTGGACGTGCCCAAAGATCAAGGCCTTCTGGGAAATGATATATAATGAATTAAAAAGGTATTGAAATATACTTTCTTGAAGAAACCAGAGGCCTTCCTCTTGGGCATGGTCGGCCAATTGGTGCGAAGGGAAGACAGGAATTTCTTTATGTATGCGACAGCAGCGGCAAGAATACTCATTGGGAAATACTGGAAAACACAAGAATTGCCTACCCGAGAAGAATGGCAGAGAAAAGTGATAGACTATATGGAACTGGCTGAGATGACCGGCAGAATACGAGACCAAGAAGAAGGGTCGATGGAAGAAGATTGGAAAAATTTAAAACATATCTTCAGAAATACTGTAATATAAAAGAATGCTAGAAAAGGTTGGAGAAGAACATTAGACCGTATTGGCAGACAGAGTATAATGGAATAAGGAAATATGTAGTGTAAAATAAAAAATAGAGGAGAATTAAATATTTTTGAATGTTAAATTAAGTAAATGAAAAGAAGGTTAGAAGGGTTTGCTGGAGATACGATTTAAATTAGAATACAAAGCAGAGAAGTGAGAGGAAGTCTTGGAAATAAGTAAATGGGAAAATGATCTTAATGGCTTAATTTGATTTTTTGTTACTTTTGTATTGTGATTTTTTGTCCTTTGTATTTTTTTCTGTATTGTGTGGTGTTTTTTTTTTTTTTTTGTAGGGTGTATGTGATTTGTTTTTCTTTTTTTTTTTTTGCTTTTTTCTTTCTATGTAATCTTAAAATTGGAATAAACATTCTTTTTTAAAAAAAAAAACAGAGTGGCTGGGAAAACCCAGCCAGATGGGCGGTGTATAAATAATAAATAAAAATAATAAAAATTATTAATAATTGATAATAAGAATAATTCCACAGAGTGGAAGCAACCTGGGTCCCGCATCTGCTTCCTGCCCCATAGCAGGAAAAGCACCAAAACAGCCTGGAAGGTTCCAGTGGTTTCTGCCTGTTGCCAGATCATGCACTGGCTGAGGACCCCAGGAGCTTAGAAGGGTCTCTACTTAGGCTGAACTCAGCTGTGCTGCCACTCCCCTCTAGTCTCTCAGGCAGCTGTTTCAGCAGTGGGTGGGTGCACTGTGGCTTTTGAATGGGAGCCAAGCTTGTCTGTGTGGCCCCAATGGTTGGTGTGTGTGTGTGTGTGTGTGTGTGTGAGAGAGAGAGAGAGAGAGAGAAAGTGAGTGAGTGAGTGTGTTGTGTGTCTGTTGAGGCCATTAGCAGCTCAATGAAGAGGGACCCCTGAACTATGCATACCCTTCAACATTTGTCCAATGAAAATAGGGGCGTCCATTTCCATAATGGTAATTTCACTATTTATACCCCACCCATCTTCCTGGGTTGCCCCAGCCACTCTGGGCAGCTTCCAACATATATAAAAAAACATAATAAAACATTAAACATAAAAAACCCTTTCCTATACAGGATTGCCTTCAGATGGCTCATGGGGTCAGATAACTCTATACCCTCCAACATTTCTCTGATGAAAATAGGGACAAACTAGTCCACATCCTCCAACATTTATCCAATTTATTTATTATTTATATGCTGCCCATTAAACTTTTAAAAAAAACAACACCATCCCTATACAGGACTGCCTTGAGGTGTCTTCTAAAAGTTGTATAGTTACTTATCTACTTGGCTCGGGGGTAGCATAACTCCACACCCTCCAATATTTCTCCGATGAAAATAGATGAACCACAGAGCCTAGGACTTGCCGATCAGAAGGTTGGCAGTTCGAATCCCCGTGACGGGGTGAGCTCCCGTTGCTCGGTCCCAGCTCCTGCCAACCTAGCAGTTCAAAAGCACAAAGTGCAAGTAGATAAATAGGTACCGCTCCAGCGGGAAGGTAACAGCGTTTCCGTGTGCAGCTCTGGTTCGCCAGAAGCGGCTTAGTCATGCTGGCCACATGACCCGGAAGCTGTCTGGGGACAAACGCCGGCTCCCTTGGCCAATAAAGCGAGATGAGCGCCGCAACCCCAGAGTCGGTCACGACTGGACCTAACGGTCAGGGGTCCCTTTACCCTTTACCTTTACCTAAGGAAAAGCAGGGCATTCCGGGATCATATCAGAAACAGGGATGTCTTCTCTAAATCAGGGGTGTCCCTGCAAAATAGGGACACTTGGAGGATCTGAACCATGGGGCCCGTGCTGGTGTTACTCACGGAGGAAGACGTAAGTCAGGGTTCCCATCAGCACCAATATCGCAGCCAGAGATCCGATAATGGTCCCAGCGAGGGCTCCAGCAGGACCGGAAGTAAGAGAAGGTAAGGCTAAGATGGGAACACAAGCAGAGCTCCCAATCCTATTTAAAATAATTACCATAATTTCTAATAATCCAATAATCTGCTGCTAATAAATAATAATAATAATAATAATAATAATAATAATATTTATACCCTGGCCATCTTCAATAGCCACCAAAATCTGACGCCTGAGGCAGATGATGTGCTTTCCCTAGCGCTAGACAAGGCAAACAACAAAATGCTTTCATGTGTTCCAGGAGAGAAATCAGGAAGTCAACATCAGACAAGAGAAAGTCGAGAATCCCAGCAGCTCCTCCCTCCAGCCTTGCTGGCTCTTCTGTTCAGCTATAACATGGGTAGGCAAACTAAGGCCCGGGGGCTAGATCCGGCCCAATCGTGCTCTAAATCCGGCCAGCGGACAGTCCGGGAATCAATGTGTTTTTACATGAGTAGAATGTGTGCTTTTATTTCAAATGCATCTCTGGGTTATTTGTGGGACATAGGAATTTGTTCATTCCCCCAACCCAAAAAATATAGTCTGGCCCCCCACAAGGTCTGAGGGACAGTGGACCGGCCCCCTGCTGAAAAAGTTTGCTGACCCCTGAGCTATAACATTTCAGTTGCAACATTGAGTTAACAGGAAGCTAGACCTGAGAACTGAGATTATGGTAAAGGAGAGAAAAAGGAAGGGAAAGAGACCTCCCCTTTGAGCAAAAGGCCCATTCTATGAAGTTGAAAAGACAGCTTTTGGACTAGATACCGCAATGTGCTGGGAAACTAAATGCCAAAAAGAACCATCTCACAACTGGAACCTAAAGGAAAACTTATTTTCCAAACCTTCATTATTTGCTTGTGATTACTGAACTCAGCAGGGACGCGGGTGGCACTGTGGGTTAAACCACAGAGCCTTGGACTTGCCGATCAGAAGGTCGGCGGTTCGAATCCCTGTGACGGGGTGAGCTCCCGTTGCACAGTCCCTGATCCTGCCAACCTAGCAGTCTGAAAGCACGTCAAAGTGCAAGTAGATAAATAGGTACCACTCCGGCGGGAAGGTAAATGGTGTTTCTGTGCACTGCTCTGGTTCGCCAGAAGTGGCTTAGTCATGCTGGCCACATGACCCGAAAGCTGTACGCTGGCTCCCTCGGCCAATAAAGTGAGATGAGCACCACAACCCCAGAGTTGGTCATGACTGGACCTAACGGTCAGGGGTCCCTTTACCTTTTTACTGAACTCAGCAGTTGTGCCTGGACCTCTCTAGGGCGGTAGATGTACTGGGGGCAAGTTCATTGGAGGATATAATAATCATAAATCTAGTCAGGAACTGAACCGAGGACACAACTTTGGAGGGATAAAAGGAGGTTACTTCTAAAAGTATCAAGTTCACCTCTTAAAGATGGGAAAGGAAGCGAGACTCATACCTGAGACAGTTAGGTTTGCATTCCCCGTTTTGTGTATCACAGGTAAACCCACTGTCAATGTATACATTCCCGAGTCATTTAGCCTTAAAAGTGTGATGCGAAGGGAGCAAAGCGAGTTGACAGTCTCCCTCCCCGTGAAGGCAGGTCCATTTAGCTGATCCTCAAATAGAGCTCTGGCATAGGTAAATATTCGATTTTTGTTTTCAAGTGTCCCTCGAAACCAGGTGCAGCCGTGGTATTGCTTCAGATCAACACTTCCTGGTGTTAAGGTGACACTCTGTCCTTCTCTCAGCTCATTTGGGTCAACTGTGATGTGTATTTCGGTCTTGCCCTGGGCTTGAGTCAGCAGGAAGCAAGAACTCAGGATGGAGGCTGTGTTGTGGAGAAGGAAACAAAAACACCTGTACTAGGCCAAATATATATATATATATATATATATATATATATATATATATATGCAGCTGCCAATAGTCATGAAATTTGATTCAGTTCATATGAAAATCAGTCTCTCAGATTTGCATGTCCCAAAACAGTACAATAATGAAAATAAAGACATCCTTCAAAATTCTCACTTTATTGAATTTTATGATGTAGTTCCCCTACCAAGTTGAATATTGTGGAGAAGATTTGCATAAATATGAAATATGTTCTTCGCAGAACATAATATACAAAAGTGCATTACATTAGAAGAAATTGCTTCCGAAAAGTGCGCACAATTAGTCAAAACTGCACACAAAAGCATGTTTATTAGGAGAAATGCCCACTAATTTGCAGAACAATTTCAACGAGCATTTAATAATAAAATCACAAATTGCTTCAAAATGTGGAGAACCGAGTTTGAGATTGGAAAAACGAGATACGGAGAAAATCAAAACTGACCCCTACATGGAAGTACGTAAGTTCCATTAAACTAACCGGGGCTATCTTCCGAGTCAACATGCGTGGGAATACACCGTACGTTTGTTTGTATGTTGCTTTTGTGTGTGTTCAACTGCATGCTTGCAAACTTCCTTCTTTCTGCATTGGTCTACAATTTTAAAAGAAACCACTTGTTGTTGTTGTTGCTGAGGATCCATGGGCAGGGATGTTGTCAAATTGGCCTGCTCCCACCCCTTCTTCCCCCCTCTCTCTTATACAAATGGACACAGCCACAGGGAATGCAGCCACAAAGAAAGAGGAAAACCTGTTGCGGTTCCCTTTCAGCACCTTGCGAAACGCCTAGGCTTTCTCTGACACCCCTGTTTGCCTCACCTGCTAGGCTTCGATGACGCTCCTGCCTCCTCCCCATTGTGGGACTTCACACGCCGGATGCTGCCGCCAGCAGGACCACCAGGATGCCTGGGTTCCTCCAGCCGCTCCTGCTTCCACTCAGCCGCCAGTGACCCCCAGGTCGCTCGCTGTGCTTGGCTGGACCCTTCACCCCAATGAGACAGGAGGCCGGGTGGGACAACTCTGCTTTCTTTGGGACAGGCGGCTCCCTCTTTCCCCAGAGAGGAGTGCAGAAGCTGTGGTTCTGCAAAGACGAATGGGGAAGGAAGGAAGGAAGGCTGCTGGGGAGGAACCACACAGCAAATGAGGCAGCTTCAGGAGAGGAGAGGCTTTCTCATATTAGAGGAAGGGAAAGTGTCAATCAGATCCGGTGTGGGGTAACGTTTTCGGGCAGAGGGGTGCATTGCCTCACCGACAAGCTTCTGGGACACAGACATCAGTGGGGGGTGGATGTAGTGAGGCTAAATTCCAGCAACACAACCCCAGGGTAGCTTTCTTTCTTTCACAGCTGGATTGTACTAAACGGCTCAGAGGTTTCCTTACAGTGTCAAGGACCGCCAAACCCCTTATATCCCTGCCCAAGCATGGAGATATCCAAGGGAGTCTCACAAAAGCTCAGGTGCATAGCTTGCAACTGTAGGGCCATAAGAACCCCCCCCATGGCCTTTCTGAGAAAGGAGAGGTCCGTCAGGAGAACAAGGATGGCATTGATGGAACAGGCTCAAATGTTTATCATTCAAGGTTGTAAAGAGATAAGCAGACTCAGAAATGCACATTGCCGTGGTGTGGAGAGGCTGGTGGGGCCATTGCAGGAAGGGGGGGGCAAGCCTATGTAAGGACATAGGAAGTTGCTATAACTTTCGATTTCCCAGAAATCAGGTGGTTTTACAAGAAATCCGGTGGTATTGTATTCTGCAAATGTATAAAAAGTGGGTGCCCCCTGACTGGGGTGTGCAGATTGCGAGCTTATCGCGCTGTGCCTTTGTCCTGCATATGCATTTCAAATAAATCCTGTTGAATCCTGCAAGGTTGGTTGCCACTTCGTGTGAATCTGTGCTCCGGGGACCCAATAGCAGATATGGAAAATGTCCAAAACAACTACTAGAAGCCATACCTTTGGTGACCTAGGCCCGAGCCTGTGGAACTCCCTCCCACATGAGAGCAGACAGACATTCTTTTTACAGGTGACCAGGCAGAGGACCATCTCGGTGGTGGCACCCGCCCTGTGGAACGCCCTCCCACCAGATGTCAAAGAAATAAACAACTATCTGACTTTTAGAAGACATCTGAAGGCAGCCCTGTTCAGGGAAGTTTTTAATGTTTGATGTTTTATCACGTTTTTAATATTCTGTTGGGAGCCACCCAGAGCGGCTGGGGAAACCCAGCCAGATGGGCAAGGTATAAATATTATTATTATTTATTATTATTACTCAACTGCAGGTGTATGACAAAGACTTTCTCATTCCAGCAGTAGCGTTCAGGGGTGTAGTGTGTGTGCATATAGTGTGAAAATAACATGGAAACATGGATTTTATTAGGGGGGGAAATACTTGAAAATGTGAACATTTGTCAAAACTATTTGGAAAAATGTGTATATCACATTAAATTTATTATATTTACATATATATGTAAATATATTATATTTACATTAAAATGCAGGCAAATTTTCATGAGGAATTTCCCTTTTCTTTCTTCCCCCTCAGCATTAATCCTTTAGTCACACAAGATGCAATTCCAAGGATTTCTGCCTGGCTGTTCCAGGAGGAGTTTCCTTTGTGTCTCTGTCTCAGTATCCGCAAGTCTTTCCCAGTGTGAGAGTCCCTTGGGGACCAAGGCTGCTTCCTTTGTTCAGAACAAGGACTAGGATTTCCAGAAGGACCTGCCCGGCATTTACTCAGCACCATCTGAAAGGAGAGATCAGATCAGGAAAGAGGCTTGAGGGCCCAGGAGAGGCCTCAGCAGTGGAGAGGAACTTGCTGGTCCATGTCTTATCTCTTTATCTCTTCGTAGACAGAAGGGATTCTGGGCTGCAAGGTCTAAAGAGAAAATGGAGATGGTCAGGTGGAAGCCACAGAGTCAAATCCACCTTTGCTTTCATTTGTTTTCTTGGCCAGTGTAAGAATACATTTATTTACGTATTTATATCCTTGGAAGCTGTATGGCCTGTAAGAAGAGACGGAAATCAGAGCTAGTGTCTTTAAGGCAAGTGGTTTATACTTTCAGGGAACCTGGGCATCCTCTGCCTGGAATTTGGATAATTCGGAATACAGGGCACGCCACTGTGAATTCCATGCAAAGGAAGAATTTCAGGTCCAGTTCCCTCAGGGCTTCTTTTGCAGTGTGAGCAGAGAAAAGCTTCACTTGATGAAACACCCATTTCCACCTGACTCTACAACCCTTCAGGAGACCTGCACACCTTTGCAGCTGGCCATTTAGGTGTACATACATTTCTGTTCTGGAGGGAGAGATCCCTGCTTGAAATCTGGGAGAGCAGCTGCCATTCAATGTAGGCTGTACTCAGCTTGATAGACTAAAGAGGTGACTTGGTATTTGGCCACTCTCTATGTTCTGTTGGGTAGGTACATGAGGAAGACAATTGCCCATGAGGCCCTAAAATGTACGAGGCCATCTTAAGGCCAGCTTTCTGAGTTGTGTCTGTAACCCTGGGTTAATTGTGAGAGCCGCTGATGGGCTCTTGTTAATACAGTGGTACCTTGGTTCTCAAACCAAAGTCTTTTCCCAAACCAAAGCATTCCAAAACCAAGGCAGGTTTTCCCATAGTAAGTAATGCAAAATGGATTAAGACGTTCCAGACTTTTAAAAACAACTCCCTTAAACAGCAATTTAACATGAATTTTACTATCTAATGAGACCATTAAGCCATAAAATGAAAGCAGTGAACAATGTACTGCAGTCACATAATCAATCAATCAGTCAGTAGCTGAACTGCGTTCCACAGTCACAAAAAGAAAACAAAACAGCCGCAAAATCAAAAATGTGAAATAAATAGCAAAAACTGACAGACCTCAGCGTAACACTCAAAATGGAAGTGTGGCACTCAAATCAGAAGTGTAACACTCAAAACGGAGCACGCTCGGCTTCCGAAAAATGTTCGCAAACCAGAACACTTACTTCTGGGTTTGCGGTGTTTGGGTTCCAAGTTGCTTGAGTACCAAGGCGTTTGAGAACCAAGGGACCACTGTAACAGATATTTGGTCATATTTGGCATTTCCAAACATTTTGAAGCACAAAGGACTCACCTCATATGTGTTGGCAGCGCTGGAGGAATTTTCAGGATGAACCTGGGTCAACGACAAAAATATGTTGAAGGGAGCACCTCACCTTAGCCCTGATTCCCAGTTCTTGCAGTGTGTCAGTGCAGAATTCTGACAATTCAGTTTATATTATTATGGCCAGTTTCAAATGTGTGGCCAGCTGAACTTGGCCTGTTCCATTTTCTTAAGACCCACATTTAGGGGCACCTTAGCAGATGCTGAAACAGGGAGTGTTTTTATGAAAACAGAAAGTTATGTTTTTGTTTTGTTTTTAAACCTACTTTCCTTTCGCATCTTCGTGACTTAATTTGTCATTCCTTTGTGTGCTCCACTGTTTAATCTAGACTATAAAGAAGGCTGATCGCCGAAGAATTGATGCTTTTGAATTATGGTGCTGGAGGAGACTCTTGAGAGTCCCATGGACTGCAAGAAGATCAAACGTATCCATTCTTAAGGAAATCAGCCCTGAGTGCTCACTGGAAGGACAGATCCTGAAGCTGAGACTCCAATACTTTGGCCACCTCATGAGAAGAGAAGACTCCCTAGGAAAGACCCTGATGTTGGGAAAGATAGAGGGTACAAGGAGAAGGGGACGACAGAGGGTGAGATGGTTGGATTGTGTTCTCGAAGCTACCAGCATGAGTTTGACCAGACTGCGGGAGGCAGTGGAAGACAGGAGTGCCTGGCGTTCTCTGGTCCATGAGGTCACGAAGAGTAGGACACGACTAAACGACTAAACAACAACAACAACATAAATCCTCTGGATCATGGAAATGGCACCCCTCATCTGCTCTCAAGGTCAGCTAAGTTAGCACTGATGCAAAAAATAAATGTTAAACAGCATGCAATAGCGGGAAAAGCTTGAGGGTGCCTCTTAACCCACAATACTTTGTACTCTAAATAGGTCAAATCATTTTTAATCACATGGCCAGAGACCTGGTGCAAAATTTAACTGCAGTCTCCAACTCCAGATAACATAGAATGCCAACATGATACAGAGAAAACATGCTCAACTCTACATCTACCCAAAACCCTATTCTAAGATCATCTGAGCTCCTGTCTCAATTACCAAAAAGGGTTTCCCTTCCAATAATATTCCTGCCCTTTCCATTCACATGGTTTGCTACAAGAGAAAGGAAAATTTCCCCAGCTTGATTGGAAAGGAAGATTTTAAGTGGCCGCAGATCAGTAGTGGGTGGAGCCAGATGTAAAAATGGGTGGAGTGAGAAATGTAAATTCCACCTTTGTGCAGTAGGCTAGTTTCTTGTCTACCAGGTAAATGCTTTAAAATTGAGAGGATCGGCTCCATTCTAAACCCATCATAATACTGGCAACAATAGCGTAAGAAAACTAGTTTGATGGCAGCCTTCCTCGCAAGGTTATCATCTTTCCTCCAACAGAGCCTGGTTATAATCGACCCTCTGTTAGAATGAAGAGGATTGGTTTGAGAAGATATTGAATTATTTGGGTAGGTTTGAACAATTTGGGGCAATTAAAATGCTAAAAGTTAAATAAACCTTGTGGAGGGAGGAGTGTTAAGGTATATAGAATTGTACATATGGCTGATTTGAATATGTTATTATTATGTATACCCAATGCATCAGCCGCCTGGGGGTTTTCACTGTTTGTTTTCACTGTTTGTGTTTTGGTTGTTAGTAAAATAATAATAATAAATAATAAATAATAAAATAAAATAAAATAATCGACCCTCCGTTAATGCTCCTGGCAGAGAACTGAAGTCCGCCAGAGTTCTTCACAGTTCAGGAGGAGAAAGCAAGATGAAATATTTCTACATCAGATACAAATTTCCAATCATACCATCCCCAAATGTGTTGGAGGTTAGACAGGTACATAAACAGGTTGATTGTGGGCAATAGGGGTTTTGTTTTTTTCAACTTATTGAATTTCCCCTGAAAAGAGGAAATCCAGATCAAAGGGGTGTGGGGTGGAGATGGCACGGCATTTAGATGCTGTTGGTGCCTAGTGCTTGCCATGCTTGAGGTGGCCCCATCTCACCCCAAACGACCATCTGGAGGCCCCCTGAGTCACTCACCTGTCCAGCTGGAAGAACGTTCTCATATATTTGAGGGGTGGATACAACTTGGGTGGAAGTTTGGCCATTTCGACGACAGACACCTGGAGGAGGGAGAAGTCTGGGAATAAACTCATAATGTGGACCTCATATCCTACAACAGACCCTACAGATCTGCCCCCGAGAGCAGGGTAACATCAAGCAAACTGCAGCAAGACCATTTCTTTATGCTTTTTAAGAAGCATCTTGTCCTTAACAAGAAGGAGAACTGCAGTTTATTGATATTGATTGATTGCATCCTATCCCACCCTGTTCTCCAAGGAGCTCAGGGTGGTCTACACAGTTCTGCTGCTCTGCATTTCAGCCTCACAACAACCCTGTGAGGTAGTTTAGACTGAGAAGCAACAACCGGCCCAAGGTCCTTCGTGGCCAAGTGGGGATTCAAACCCTGGTCTCCAGGTTCCCTCCAGGTTCTTACACCAGTGTGGTGTAGTGGTTAAGAGCGGTGGACTCGTAATCTGGTGAACCGGGTTCGATTCCCAGCTCCTCCACATGCAGCTGCTGGGTGACCTTGGGCCAGTCACACTTCTCTGAAGTCTCTCAGCCCCACTCACCTCACAGAGTGTTTGTTGTGGGGGAGGAAGGGAAAGGAGATTGTTAGCCACTTTGAGACTCCTTTGGGTAGTGATAAAGCGGAATATCAAATCCAAACTCTTCTTACACAGGCACACATGCTTGTCCCCCAACAGCTTACAGCCTAAAGGAGGTGACTCATTTAAATGTCAGTGCACTATGCCAATCATTTGGGGTTGCTTTTCCAGTCAGCAGAGTCACCCAGAAAGTCTTCTCAGTTCAGCTCATGTGTTGGTGAATTCCCACGTGGGAATAAACACCTCACCCATTTCACTTCAGCTTAAATTATTTATTGCAGATTTAAAATTGCAGCTTATAAAAGTATTGGTCTATGGGAAATAAATTAAAACTATATACAGTGAATCATTCCTCCTCTATGTTCTTTACTAGAGTGTGTGAGTTGGGACCATTGGTGTAGTAGGAGATTAGCAGTCCAACTTAACAATGCATATTCTTGCTAGTTAGCATGAGAAGGGGTTAAGACCACAGAGCTGTACTGCTGATAGGCAGACCATAGAGATGTACTTGGGAGAGAGGGCTCTGTGTGATTTCATTTCCCCACCTCCCCACCCCTCTTCCTTCAACCACCAATGAGGGCTCTGCTTGCTCCAGCTCGTACACATGTCTGTGGCTGTTTTTACTGTAAATAGAAGTATTTTACCTGCATAGTTTGTTTACTGCTGCTGTTGCAGAGAACCAATGCACGACTATAAGTAAGTAAATCATATTTTAAACTTACTTCCCAGTCTGTTGCCTGATTCTTTGTCAAGAAAGGTAAGAAAGAGGGACACAGCTTACGTTGTAGCTGGGCTTTATCCAAAGAAGGCTTCACAATTCTTATGCTTTAATTTTCTGCTAAGGATGGGATCCTAAACTCTGTTCAGCTTGTGCAAGTGGGTGCCTGGAGGTAAGGTAAAGGTAAAGGGAGCCCTGACAGTTAGGCCCAGTCGCAGACGACTCTGGGGTTGCGACGCTCATCTCGCTTTATTGGCCGAGGGAGCCGGCGTACAGCTTCTGGGTCATGGGGCCAGCATGACTAAGCCGCTTCTGGCAAACTAGAGCAGTGCACGGAAATGCCATTTACCTTCCCGCCAGAGTGGTACCTATTTATCTACTTGCACTTTGATGTGCTTTCGAACTGCTAGGTTGGTAGGAGCAGGGACCAAGAAACGGGAGCTCACTCCGTTGCGGGGATTCAAACTGCCACCCTTCTGATCAGCAAGCCCTAGGCTCTGTGGTTTAACCCACAGCGCCACCCGCGTCCCTGCCTGGAGGTATAAATTGCAATTAATATATCCTCTCCTAACGAGTAAAACTCATCCACCATGTTGAGAGCACCCTGCAGTTGACGGCCAGCTCTGGTTTTACTCACGGAGAAAGGCGTAAGTCAGTGTTCCCACTAGCACCAATATCACAGCCAGGGACCCGATAACAGTCCCAGCGAGGGCTCCAGCAGAACCAGAAGAGGAAGAAGAAGAACCATCTGAAGAATCTGAAGAGCAAAGGACTTTTTTTTCATGATTTTGCATTAAGGGTTGACAATAATCTAGCCTCTCATCTCTCCCTCTAATAGCACTAAAGGAAGGAAAGTCAATATTTTAGAATTACCTGGCTTTGGGGGCAGAGAGGTAGCAGCATGTAATGTCCAGAAATGAGTGCAACTCTTCCTGGCTCACATAAGATTGGCTAGAAAAGAAGCCAAGGTGTTGCCCTCCAAAAGGTGAGAAATAGTTCTTCCTCAAACTCAGTGCCCAGTCTAGTGATTTTCTTTCTTTCTTTCTTTCTTTCTTTCTTTCTTTCTTTCTTTCTTTCTTTCTTTCTCTCTCTCTCTTTCTTTCTTTCTTTCTTTCTTTCTTTCTTTCTTTCTTTCTTTCTTTCTTCCTGAATGTTTTTATTAAAGATTTTCTTGGTTTATGAAAGAACATGCGTTGTCTCTTTTTTCAAGTTGTAGAGCCTTTTTTATCACCTGATGTGAGACATTGGTGCTGCATAAAACCCAATATACACCCAAAGTATAACCACCCAACCCCCTCTCCCCACCTTCTTCTACCCCAGTCTAGCGATATTCCTTGATCCTTCCAGCTCCCCCAAGCTCTTTTCCCACACTCAGCTATGTGGGCCGCATAACAAGCTATACGCCCTTTGAGCATTGAAAACAGCTGTCCCATATGCGCCAACATTTCTCTGATGAAACACCATAATCTACCTCCACACAAAAAACGATAGATTGTTAGAAGCCACTAGCATGGAGAGCAGTCAGGAGGAAAGGTGTTCCTTGTTTATTAGTGGATTACTCACATGCCAAAGTTATCTTACTGGGGTTGCTTGTAGCATTACTGACAGGGTTGACTGCCTGACACCTATAGATCCCTTCATCCTCTTTGGTGATGCCAGTTAGCATGAGGATTCGGTTCTGGTCAGAAAGCCCAGTATTAGATGGGACAGGATTACCATCCTTGAACCAAAGGATGGAGACGTCAAAGTGGTCAGAGGTGTTGCAGTGTAAGGTGACGGTTGTGTTCTCTGCCACTAGGGATTCTGTCGGCCGCAGGACCGGGTTGGAGAGGATTTCTGCAGATGAAACAGAAAGACAGTCATCTTTTGTGGGTTCTCTTCGGTGCTGAATCTGTTTATGGTCTCTTTAAGAAAAGCCATCAAAGAAAGCCACTTTGAGCCACTGACATGTGGTGTTGTTGTTGTTGTTTAGTTGTTTAGTTGGTCCGACTCTTCGTGACCCCATGGACCAGAGCCCTCCAGGCACTCCTGTCTTCCACTGCCTCCCGCAGTTTGGTCAAACTCATGCTGGCAGCTTCGAGAACACTATCCAACCATCTCGTCCTCTGTCATCCCCTTCTCCTTGTGCCCTCCATCTTTCCCAACATCAGGGTCTTTTCCAGGAAGGCTTCTCTTCTCATGAGGTGGCCAAAGTATTGGAGCCTCAGCTTCAGGATCTGTCCTTCCAGTGAGCACTCAGGGCTGTTTTCCTTCAGAATGGATAGGTTTGATCTTCTTGCAGTCCATGGGACTCTCAAGAGTCTCCTCCAACACCATACGTTAGTGCATATTAATTGGTTTAAAAATGCGTTTAAATGAATATAATTCCCCCTTCCCCCAAAAAACCCCCTCAAACATTTCCCCATTGAACAGCTAAAAAAGCAGTTGCAAGACTAGCGTATTCTGGTATAGTTTTCTGATGAAAAAATGAATAATTTTGTAGGGCCTCATTCTTGGGGCAGAGGAATTGTGTTTAGGACAAATTCACGAGCCACATCCCACCCTCCCTAAGGGGGAAGGCACAGAACTCTCCACCTCAGAGCTCAGCAGAGGAGATAGATTTGGGTGCATAAGAAGTAAGAATGACTGGGCTCAATATGGAGGCCAAATGGCCGAAATATTGGGAAATTTTGGAACAAGAAGGAGACAAATTGAAATTGCAGAGTTTCGAGAAACTAAAAAACAAAGTGAGGGATTGGCTTCATTATTATCAGATAATGGAGGCATATAATTTGGATAAGAAAATTGGCTTCCAGGTGGAAAAATCAAAACTAGAAACAGAACTGTTAGAACCCAAAACTAAGAATTTGTCAAGAATGTATAACTTGCTGTTGAAATTGAATACTCAGGATGAAACGGTGAAATCTGCTATGATTATTATTATTTTTTTTAAAGATATTTATTAAAGTTTCAAGAAATACAGAAAAAAAAGAAAAATATACAGAGTACAACAACAACAACAAAAAAAAGAATATACAGAGTACAAAATATAACAAAAAATAGAGAATAAAAAGAAAACATACAAAATAAAACAGTTAAAAGGACATTGATTTTCCAAACCTATCTTCCCTACACTTATTTCCCTGGACCTCCTCATACCTCCCTTCTTTGTATTCCAGTTCAGTTTGTTAGTTCAGCAAATCCTTACCATTAAACTTTTACCCAATTGTTAACCTTTTTTCATATCTCTTAAAGCATTACAGCTAAAAACCTCTTAGTTTCTATCCAACATCCTTCTAAGATTCCTTAATTTTGCAATATTTCTGTAAATAGTCTTTAAATTTCTTCCAGTCTTCTTTCACCGACTCTTCTCCCTGGTCTCGGATTCTGCCAGTCATTTCCGCCAATTCCATGTAGTCAATCACCTTCATCTGCCATTCTTCCAAAGTGGGTAGATCTTGTGTCTTCCAATACTTTGCAATGAGTATTCTTGCTGCTGTTGTAGCATACATAAAAAAAGGTTCTATCCTTCTTTGGCACCAATTGGCCGACAATGCCCAGAAGAAAGGCCTCTGGTTTCTTCCAGAAAGGTATATTTAAATACCTTTTCAGTTCATTATATATCATTTCCCAGAAAGCCTTGATCTTTGGGCACGTCCACCAAAGGTGAAAGAATGTACCTTCAGTTTCTTTACATTTCCAACATTTATTATCGGGCAAATGATAAATTTTTGCAAGCTTGACTGGGGTCATGTACCACCTGTATATCATTTTCATAATATTCTCTCTTAAGGCATTACATGCCGTAAACTTCATACCTGTGGTCCATAACTGTTCCCAGTCAGCAAACATAATATTATGTCCAACATCTTGTGCCCATTTAATCATAGCAGATTTCACCGCTTCATCCTGAGTATTCCATTTCAACAGCAAGTTATACATTCTTGACAGGTTTTTAGTTTTGGGTTCTAACAATTCTGTTTCTAATTTTGACTTTTCCACCTGGAAGCCTATTTTCTTATCCAAATTATATGCCTCCATTATCTGATAGTAATGAAGCCAATCTCTTACTTTATTTTTTAGTTTTTCAAAACTCTGCAATCTCAATTTATCTCCTTCTTGCTCCAAAATTTCCCAATATGTCGGCCATTTGGCCTCCATATTGAGCCTTTTCAGAGCTTTTGCTTCCATTGGTGACAGCCACCTTGGGGTTTTATTTTCCAATAAATCTTTATATCTTATCCAAACATTAAACAATGCTTTCCTAACAATATGGTTTTTGAATGCTTTGTGTGCTTTGACCTTATCATACCATAAGTATGCATGCCATCCAAATACATTGTTAAAACCTTCTAAATCCAAAATGTCTGTGTTTTCAAGAAGTAGCCATTCTTTCAGCCAGCAAAAAGCTGCTGATTCGTAGTAAAGTTTAAAGTCTGGCAGGGCAAATCCACCTCTTTCCTTGGCATCAGTTAATATCTTAAATTTTATTCTGGGCTTCTTGCCCTGCCAGACAAATCTAGAAATATCTCTCTGCCACTTCTTGAAACAGTCCATCTTATCTACAATTTGTAGTGTCTGAAACAAAAACAACATTCTAGGCAATACATTCATCTTTATCACAGCAATACGGCCCAGCAGTGAGAGTTTCAAATTTGACCAAATTTCTAAATCTTTTTTCACTTCAGTCCAACATTTTTCGTAATTATCTTTAAATAAGTTCCCATTTTTGGCTGTCATATTAATCCCCAGGTATTTCACTTTCTTTACCACAGTCAATCCTGTCTCATTCTGAAACCTCTCTCTTTCAATCGGTGTTAAATTTTTCTCTAAAACCTTAGTTTTTAGCTTGTTCAATTTAAATCTGCTATGATTAAATGGGCACAAGATGTTGGACATAATATTATGTTTGCTGACTGGGAACAGTTATGGACCACAGGTATGAAGTTTACGGCATGTAATGCCCTAAGAGAGAATATTATGAAAATGATATACAGGTGGTACATGACCCCAGTCAAGCTTGCAAAAATTTATCATTTGCCCGATAATAAATGCTGGAAATGTAAAGAAACTGAAGGTACATTCTTTCACCTTTGGTGGACGTGCCCAAGGATTAAGGCTTTCTGGGAAATGATATATAATGAACTGAAAAAGGTATTTAAATATACCTTCTTGAAGAAACCAGAGGCCTTTCTTCTGGGCATTGTCGGCCAATTGGTGCCAAAGAAGGTCAGAACTTTTTTTATGTATGCTACAACAGCAGCAAGAATACTCATTGCAAAGTATTGGAAGACACAAGATCTACCCACTTTGGAAGAATGGCAGATGAAGGTGATGGACTATATGGAATTGGCAGAAATGACTGGCAGAATCCGAGACCATGGGGAAGAGTCGGTGGAAGAAGATTGGAAGAAATTTAAAGACTATTTACAGAAATATTGTAAAATTAATGAATGATAGAATGATGTTGGATAGTAATTAAGCGGTTTCTAGCTGTAATGCTTTAAGAGAATATGAAAAAAAGGGTTATAAATGGGTTAACATCTAATGGTAAGGATTTGCTGAACCAATAAATTGAAGTGGAATACAAAAAAGGGAGGTACGAGGAGGTACGGGAAACAAGCTAAAGGAAAATAAGTAACTGAAAATATGTGTGTTTTTAACTGTTTTTATTTTGTATTCTTCTCTTTTCTTTTTCATTTTTACTGTAATACTTCAAAAAACCTTAATAAATATCTTATAAAAAAAAAAAAGAATGACTGGAGAGCAAGTTAACATACCTGAAACGGTGATGCTTGTAGCCTCTGTGTTGGTAACCCCAAGACCTTCTGTTTCAAATGAATAGGTTCCAGAGTCATCTGTCTTTAAATTTGTGATGTCAAGGGAGCAATCTGGCTTCCCAGTCTCCCTGCCAGTGTGGGCAGGTCCTTTTTCCTGACCACTAACTGGAACTAGGTAATATGTAACAATAATGTTTTTGTCTTCAACTGCCCCTCGGTACCATTTGCAGGTGGCTATCATCTTCAGATTAAGACCTTCTGGTTTTAAGGTGACACTATCTCCTTCTTTCAGCACTTCTGGAACAACTCTGATACTTATTCCAGTTGTCTCCTGGGCTTGAGTCAACAGGAAGCAGGAACTCAGGATGGAGGCTGCAGTGTGGAGAAGAAAACGAAAGACATGTTCTGCTAAAGAAGAAGAAAAAGGGCTTCCAACCTCTGCTGAAATGTCACGGCACACTCTAAATATCCCAGTTCGTAACAGTGATTCCTCTCAAGAGCTGTCCTACAAACACTAAGTGTAGCTCTTACTTTATTGAGCAAGCAAGAAGGCAGTTCCTTTCCTGGCAGCTCAGCCTCAGCCTTCTTCTGGGGCAGACATGAAGAAAGGGGAAGCGCTCTTGTATTTCCCCTTCCAGGACCCTCCCATGTTTCTAGCTAAGCAAACATTAACATAAAGGGGGCCAGTGAAGGAGGTCTGGGCATCTGTCTGTGTTTACCTCCTTCAGGGACTCAGGATGATTCCTTTCTTTTCTTTCTTTTCTTTATAATTTTTCATTTTTAACAAATGAACATAATAATCTGATTTATAAATCCTTTATGTACTTTCGCCATACCACAAATACACATGCCAGCCAAATATATCATCGTGACATTCCAAGTCTTTAATATGTGGATTCTTCAGTGACAACCATTCCTTCAACCAGCACAGACAGGAAGCTTCATAATGTAATCTCATATCCGACAGGGAAAAACCTCTTCTCTCTTTCTCATCTATTAATATTTTATATTTTATTCTTGGTTTTTACCCTTGCCAGATATATTTCAAAATATCTTTTTGCTATTTATTGAAACAATCTGTCTTGCCGATCACCGGTATTGATTGAAACAAAAATAACATTCATTTTAATAAATGATTCCTTTCTTCACACAAAGTGCTCACTGGGCACTAAGAATCCTTCTACAATTTTTTTTTAAAAAAATTCCCTCAGGGCTCCAGCCTGCCCCTTTAGTACTACCTCTCTGCCTACCTGGAGGGTCTGTATGTAATTCCATCTGCAGCCTTTCAGAACTCTTACCAGAAACCCCTGTGGGAATGGGGCCCTGATTCTGCGTCCAAGAGGGTAGGAAACAGAGGGTGAAGCAGTGCGGCCCTTAGTGGGACTTGCCAATTTTGCATTTCATTGCAAGTTTTAGTACATATTTAAAATGCATTTAATTGCAAATTAACACAATGGTCTAGTTTGAATTCCTGAGGACTCCACAACAACATTCAGAGGAGCATGAAATCTGGCAGTGAGTGAAGTTTAGACCTCTGCATTAGTCTGAGAGGTGCAGATCTATATTAGAACTAAAAGACCAAATTCCTCCAGCATCCTCATCCTACCCCCCAAGCTCAGCTGCATGTAACTCCACCTGCTTCCTTCCAGCGCTCTTACCAGCAACCCCTTTGGAAATGGGGTCCGGATTCTGCATCCTAGTAAGTACAAAACCAAGGGTGCAACAGGGTGGTCCCTAGCAGGCCTTTTGCATATAAATACATGTTTAAAAAGTGATTTTTCACTCAAAACAACACCTTCCTCTATGAAATCAGGTGCAGAGTTAGGTTTCGACATCTGCATTAGTGGGAGAGATACAGATCTGAGCTAAAAGACCAAATTCCTCCAGCATCCTCAACTCCCCCCAAATAAGTCCTCCCCATTGCAGGGTGCTGATCGCTCACCTGCTAAGGGCAGCATCTTCCAGGAGACATTCCAGCCATGGGATCTGCGTGGCCTGTCCATCTTGTGGGTGCACTTCCTGGAGAATCGATCTGGCTCTCTGTCCCTTGACAGCTCGTGCTCTCGGGTCTTTCTCTGCTCCTTGCCTAGTATCTGGTTCCAGCACCACTGCTGGCTCCAAGTGAGTCTCCGATCAGAGAAACAGGAACTTGGCTGCTGAACTTTCAGCACTGGGTTTTCCCCCAAGGGTTTGAAATCATTCAAACAAAGCTCTTTCATTAACTTCCTTCTATGCCCTTACTAGCCAAGCCAATCCCTGAACTATTTGCTGAAATACAACTCAGCAGCACCCGCCTCAAAAAACGACAGCAAAGATGCAGTCCGGGTTGCAAGAGTACAAAGAGGGAGACTGAATCCAAGAGTTGAGTTCTTGCTGCAACCTTTGAACAATTATAGCGACACAATTCTTTCTTTGTTTTCCAGCATCTTTCCTCATCGTCCAAGACTTGTGGTTGATGTGGAGCAAGAGAGGAGGTCACTACTACCATTTAGACTTGTGTTTTGGTACCAAAATAAGGCCTTTCTATCCCTTTCACCACCTCCTTTCTCTCTCTGTCTCCCATTGCTCTGTTCCTCCTTATAGAGTTCCTGTGTCTCTTGCATGTGCACACCCCTTGGGTACGATTTGGATGTCCTCTCAAATGACGAAAATGGACCAGCTACTCATTGGGTTTTTCTTCCCCATTTCCACGCATGTGTGATGTAGAGATCCTGTAGGCCAGGGCGGTCCAACTTTTCATAGCAAGTGGGCCGCAAGAAGACATTGGCAAGGAACCCACAGTGTTCACACTGACTTGTCACATGGGGAAGGGGGTTGGAGGAAAGTGAAGCTAACATTTGATGGCCCTGCCCAGCCCTTACACTGCCTTCCTAAAGCCCCCCAAGCGAGGTGCCGGGCTTTGGGTGTGGGATGTGATCCATGAGAGGCAGTCAAGTACAACATTCCTTGTAATGCTTGAGAAGTCATGCGAGGGAATGTTTGGTCCAGCCAGTCAAAACTTCCTGTTCCTCCTGGCTGGAGCATCCTTCCTTTTGCATGTGATAGAAGGTGGGTGTGACCTAACCTGTCCAGGTAACAAAAGGACAAGTCACACAGCACACCTCTCTCTTTTTGACCAGCTTTTAGCTAGAACTGCTCTGCTAGCTCTCAGCTAGCAGAAGCACTGGGATTATTCCCTCATATGGGGTAGATCCACACGTACATACAGTCATACCTCTTGTTATGTTAGGTTCAGGTTATGTTCTTTCAGGATACGTACCGCGGCTCCCCGGAAGTAACGGGTTACTTCTGGGTTTCACCGCTCATGCATGTGCAGATGCTCAAAATGATGTCACACGAATGCGCAGAAGTGGCGAATTGCGACCCGCACATACGCAGATGCGGGTTGCGTTCTGCTCAGGTTGCAAACGGGGCTCCCGAATGGATCCCGTTCGCAATCAGAGGTACCACTGTATTTGTAACTAAGTCTGCCTTCAGGAATCAAACTGTGAACTGATGTGAGTAAACTTCTTTTATTGATTTTGAATAAGATTCAATCTGAGACAGATTGAATTTTATAATAGTGTGAGGCTCACACGAGCCTGCAACCAGCTATCTGCTGTGCCTGAAAAGGGGAACGTAACTCTGCTATATAAAGGAACTTGCTAGCACAAGTTAGGAAGGCTATTAATAAACAATATATCCTCCCCTGCCACTCTGAACATTCCCACATTGGGAAGGAGGCATGAGGCTCTGGCAGGGTCCTGGCATCCTTCCACCTCTCTCTCTCTCTCTCTCTCTCTTAAACATTTTTTTTTATTCATTTTCACTTTTAACATTCATCAGCATACATAAATCACAATAATTTTACAAATAGGATTCTCAGAATCCCCAAACTTCCCTCCATGCTTTTCCCAGATATTCTTTTCAAACTGCTTCGTATCATATTCTTCATATTTACCTAAAACTCAAATTTTTATCATAGTTTTCTCTTCAGTGTTTTCAAAATCCTGCTAATACTTTCAATTGTTTACAGTGTTCTTTCAAGTAACTTTTTTAAAAAATCCCCATTCTTTGTTAAATTTATTGTCTTCTTGATCTCTGATTTTCCCGTCATTTTGGCCAATTTGGCATCGTCCATCATCTTTATCGCCATTCTTCTTTTGTAGGTAGATTGTCCTCTTTCTACCTTAAAGCAAGCAGCATCCGTGAAGCTATTATAGTATACATAAACAGTCTCTTCTGATCCACAGGTATTTCTGGACCTAAAATTCCTAGTAAGAAAGCTTCAGGTTTTTTTATGTGAACATTTGTCCAAACTATTTGGAAAAATGTGTCTATCACATTAAATTTATTATATTTAAATATATATGTAAATATATTATATTTACATTAAAATGCAGGCAAATTTTCATGAGGAATTTCCCTTTTCTTTCTTCCCCCTCAGCATTAATCCTTTAGTCACACAAGATGCAATTCCAAGGATTTCTGCCTAGCCGTTCCAGGAGGAGTTTCCTTTGTGTCTCTGTCTCAGTATCTGCAAGTCTTTCCCAGTGTGAGAGTCCCTTGGGGACCAAGGCTGCTTCCTTTGTTCAGAACAAGGACTAGGATTTCCAGAAGGACCTGCCCTGCATTTACTCAGCACCATCTGAAAGGAAGAGATCGGATCAGGGAAGAGGCTTGAGGGCCCAGGAGAGGCCTCAGCAGTGGAAAGGAAGTTGCTGGGTCCATGTCTTTATCTCTTTATCTCTTCATAGACAGAAGGGATTCTGGGCTGCAAGGTCTAAAGAGAAAATGGAGATGGTCAGGAAAGTCAAATCCACCTTTGCTTTCATTTGTTTTCCTGGCCAGTGTAAGAATACATTTATTTATGTATTTATATCCTTGGAAGCTGTATGGCCTGTAAGAAGAGACGGAAATCAGAGCTAGTGTCTTTAAGGCAAGTGGTTTATACTTTCAGGGAACCTGGGCATCCTCTGCCTGGAATTTGGATAATTCGGAATACAGGGCACGCCACTGTGAATTCAATACGAAGGAGGAATTTCAGGTCCAGTTCCCTCAGGGCTTCTTTTGCAGTGTGAGCAGAGAAAAGCTTCACTTGATGAAACACCCATTTCCACCTGACTCTACAACCCTTCAGGAGACCTGCACACCTTTGCAGCTGGCCATTTAGGTGTACATACATTTCTGTTCTGGAGGGAGAGATCCCTGCTTGAAATCTGGGAGAGCAGCTACCATTCAATGTAGGCTTTACTCAGCTTGATAGACTAAAGAGGTGACTTGGTATTTGGCCACTTTCTATGTTCTGTTGGGTAGGTACATGAGGAAGACAATTGCCCATGAGGCCCTAAAATGTACGAGGCCATCTTAAGGCCAGCTTTCTGAGTTGTGTCTGTAACCCTGGGTTAATTGTGAGAGCTGCTGATGGGCTCTTGTTAATACAGTGGTACCTTGGTTCTCAAACCAAAGTCTTTTCCCAAACCAAAGCATTCCAAAACCAAGGCAGGTTTTCCCATAGTAAGTAATGCAAAATGGATTAAGACGTTCCAGACTTTTAAAAACAACTCCCTTAAACAGCAATTTAACATGAATTTTACTATCTAATGAGACCATTGAGCCATAAAATGAAAGCAGTGAACAATGTACTGCAGTCACATAATCAATCAATCAATCAATCAGTAGCTGAACTGCGTTCCACAGTCACAAAAAGAAAAGAAAACAGCCGCAAAATCAAAAATGCGAAATAAATAGCAAAAACTGACAGACCTCAGCGTAACACTCAAAAGGGAAGTGTGGCACTCAAATCAGAAGCGTAACACTCAAAACGGAGCACGTTCGGCTTCCGAAAAATGTTCGCAAAGCAGAACACTTATTTCTGGGTTTGCAGTGATTGTGTTCCAAGTTGCTTGAGTACCAAGGCGTTTGAGAACCAAGGGACCACTGTAACAGATATTTTGTCATATTTGGCATTTCCAAACATTTTGAAGCACAAAGGACTCACCTCATATGTGTTGGCAGCACTGGAGGAATTTTCAGGATGAACCTGGGTCAACGACAAAAATATGTTGAAGGGAGCACCTCACTGTAGCCCTGATGCCCAGTTCTTGCAGTGTGTCAGTGCCGAATTCTGAGAATTCAGTTTATATTATTATGGCCAGTTTCAAATGTGTGGCCAGCTGAACTTGGCCAGTTCCATTTTCTTAAGACCCACATTTAGGGGCACCTTAGCAGATGCTGAAACAGGGAGTGTTTTTCTGAAAACAGAAAGTTCTGTTTTTTGTTTTGTTTTTTAAACCTACTTTCCTTTCGCATCTTCGTGACTTAATTTGTCATTCCTTTGTGTGCTCCACTGTTTAATCTAGACTATAAAGAAGGCTGATCGCCGAAGAATTGATGCTTTTGAATTATGGTGCTGGAGGAGACTCTTGAGAGTCCCATGGACTGCAAGAAGATCAAACGTATCCATTCTTAAGGAAATCAGCCCTGAGTGCTCACTGGAAGGACAGATCCTGAAGCTGAGACTCCAATACTTTGGCCACCTCATGAGAAGAGAAGACTCCCTGGAAAAGACCCTGCTGTTGGGAAAGATGGAGGGCACAAGGAGAAGGGGACGACAGAGGACGAGATGGTGGGTCAGTGTTCTCGAAGCTACCAGCAGGAGTTTGACCAAACTGCGGGAGGCAGTGGAAGACAGGAGTGCCTGGCGTTCTCTGGTCCATGAGGTCACGAAGAGTCGGACACGACTAAACGACTAAACAACAACAACATAAATCCTCTGGATCATGGAAATGGCACCCCTCATCTGCTCTCAAGGTCAGCTAAGTTAGCACTGATGCAAAAAATAAATGATAAACAGCATGCAATAGTGGGAAAAGCTTGAGGGTGCCTCTTAACCCACAAAACTTTGTACTCTAAATAGGTCAAATCATTTTTAATCACATGGCCAGGGACCTGGTGCAAAATTCAACTGCAGTCTCCAACTCCAGATAACATAGAATGCCAACATGATACAGAGAAAACATGCTCAACTCTACATCTACCCCAAACCCTATTCTAAGATCATCTGAGCTCCTGTCTCAATTCCCACAAAGGGTTCCCCTTCCAATAACATTCCTGCCCTTTCCATTCACATGGTTTGCTAC